AACAGGCAACCTACAGAATGGGAGGAAATCTTTGCAATCTAACCATCTGACAAAGGGCTAATATCCAGAATCTACAAAGAACTTAAACAAATTTATAAGAAAAAAACAAACAGCCCCATCGAAAAGTGGGCAAAGGATATGCACACACACTTCTCAAAAGAAGACATTTATGCAGCCAATAGACATATGAAAAATGCTCATCATCACTGGTCATCAGAGAAATGTAAATCAAAACCACAGTGAGATAGCATCTCACGCCAGTTAGAATGGTAATCACTAAAAAGTCAGGAAACAACATGTCCTAGAGGATGTGGAGAAATAGGAACGCTTTTACACTGTTGGTGGGACTGTAAACTAGTTCAACCATTGTGGAAGACAGTGTGGCGATTCCTCAAGGATCTAGAGCTAGCAATACTATTTGACCCAGCGATCCCATTACTGGGCATATACCCATACCCAAAGCATTATAAATCATGCTACTATAAAGACACATGCACACATATGTTTATTGCAGCACTATTCACAATAGCAAAGACTTGGAACCAACCCAAAAGTCCATCAATGATAGACTGGATTAAGAAAATGTGGCACATATACACCATGGAATACTATGCAGCCATAAAAAAGGATGAGTTCACGTCCTTTGCAGGGACATGGATGAAGTTGGAAACCATTCTGAGCAAACTATCACAAGGATAGAAAACAAAATGCCACATGTTCTCACTCATAGGTGGGGATTGAACAATGAGAACACTTGGACACAGGCTGGGGAAAATCACACACTGGGCCTGTCATTGGGTGGGGGGTGGGGAAGGGATAGCACTGGGAGATATACCTAATGTAAATGACGGGCTGATGGATACAGCAGGCCAGCATGGCACATGTATACCTATGTAACGAGCCTGCATGCTGTGCACATGTACCCTAGAACTTAAAGTATAATAAAAATAAATTAATAAAATAAAATAAAATCAGGAAGAAAAAAAATAGCCAGACATGGTGGCAGGCACCTGTAATTCCAGCTCCTCAGGAGGCTGAGACAGGAGAATCGTTTAAGACCAGGAGGCAGAGATTTTAGTGAGCTGAGATTGTGCTGCTGCACTCCAGCCTGGGCAAGAGAGTGAGACTATCTCAAAAAAAAAAAAAAAAAGCACAGCCCTTTATATGTAAATTTTCATTCTAGGGAATAAGTTCACATCTTCTTAACATGTGTACTTTTGGTGTTTTCAGACCATTCCAGTTCAAAATTCCTCTCCAGGTACATTTACCTGAAGAAATCGGCGTCTCTGGTCTGATGCAAGATCTGGTTTCCAGGCTGGACGCAGTGGCTCACGCCTGTAATCCCAGCACTTTGGGAGGCCAAGATGGGAGGATTGCTTGAGCCCAGGAGTTTGAGACCAGCCTGGGCAACATAGTGAGACTATGTAAAAATATAAAAATTATCCATGGACTGGTGGGTGCCTGTAGTCCCAGCTATTCAGGAGGCTGAGGCAGGAGGATCACCTGAGCCTGGGAAGTTGAGGCGGCAGTGAGCTGTGATCACCATCATTTTACTCCAGCCTGGGTAACAGAGAGAGACCCAGTCTCAAAACAAACAAACAAACGCAAAAAACAAAAAACCCCACCTGGTTTCTAGAGTTTATGGAATCATACAATAGCATGTTTAATGGAGTGTTCCATCTCGCAAAATGGTGTTTTGTTGGGAGAGGGTTATGTATGCCCTCTGATATTTTCAAATCTTTATTTAAAATGCTGGGAGAGTTACTATCTGGCTTTGCATCTGTGTTGTTTAATATAATAGCCATCCATTTGGGGCAGGGTGTGGATGAACAGTACACCTACCATCTTCCAAATTATTTCCCACACTTCACCTTGTTGAATATTATTAAGATATAAAGAGAAGGAAGACCTTCCATTTCCCTCCCACTCACCCACCCACCACTTTTAATTGGGAGCACAGATGTCCCTGAGGCACTGCTATAGACCATGAGGTCACGGCAATGCAAGGGACATCAAACAGGATTGCTCTGGCTCAAAACAACCAGTCTTAATTCTGGTGCGATGAATGGCTTTGGTGGTCGTCACATATAAGAACATTCAGCGTTAGCAAGAAAGGCTGTAGGTGTGTCGCTGAATGTGATGTTTTGTTGTTGGTGTGCTGTTGTTTTTCTTTTCCTGGATGTGTAGTAGGAGTTGCAAATGTGGGGTGCAGATTGCCTCATTTGCACATAATTAAGATGAACCATCTGGGTGAGCCTAGCATGGACCAGCCCTCCCGTGGCAGAGGGCGGTGAGATGGAGCGGCTAACGCTTTGGCAATGATTCCAGGCAGCTGCCAGAAGAGGCGAAGCCTTTGCAGAGCAGCCTGTTTGTTCTGTTCCCAGACATTAGAGCGACAATACAGCTGATAGGTGAGCTGGGGGAGGTTCGTTTGGACACATTTTCTCAGGCTTTTTTTTTTTTAACCTCTCGTTGAAAAGGCAGAGTCGAAAGATCCTTTGACCTATTGTATTCTGAAATTCAATGGATCAGCTTAGGCATTGAGAAATTGATTCCAAGCCAATTTTAGTGTGGGTAAGTTTCTCTCCTTTCTGTTACTCTCATACCCTTTCTTCTTTCTTCCCTCCCTCCCTCTCCTCCTTTTTCTTTCTTAACCAAGAACGTGTGTGTGAGTGTGCGTGTGTGCGTGTGTGTGTGTGTATGTAGTGTGTGTAGTATCCATGCTTTGGAGCAAAATGAATTTAAGGAGGAACGAGTTTGTATTTTGTCCTTAGTGTTATTTTAAGGTACAAATATGGGTAGTAACTTGCAGACTACAGATGGGCTTTTCTTTCACTGTAATGCATTTGGCTGTCATATCCCTTAGTCCTAAACACCCACCCCCCCGCCCCCGCCACTGCCAATTAAATACAACCATTAGCCATTCAGTGGTTTCTGCATTTGCATTAATGCAGTGAAAAAAGAGGCAGCTCATTTTGATTAATTGCCCCTTTCCTTATTCAGGACACAGAGGCTTTCTGAGTCTAAACTTGTAGGCTTGGCAGGACACTGAGACAATTCTCTTGTGCCAGCATGTTTCAGGGTAGGTTTTTCCACCGAGACAATTCAGCCAAGAGCCCTGGGACTTGGGGCAGCAGGAGTTCTTCTAAAAATGGGCCAAAAGATGAGCAGAGCACTTGAGGTCAGGAGTTCGAGACCAGCCTGGCCAACACGGTGAAACCCCATCTCTACTAAAAATACAAAAATTAGCTGGGCGTGGTGGTACACGCCTGTAATCCCAGTTACTCAGGAGGCTGAGGCAGGAGAATGGCTTGAACCAGGGAGGCAGAGGTTGTAGTGAGCCGAGATCGCACCACTGCACTCCAGCCTAGGTGACAGGGCAAGACGAGACTCCATCTAAAAAAAAAAAAAAAAAAAAAAAAAAAAAAGGTCAAAATAATGAACTAATTGAGAGTTCAGGATTCGTGTAGTAGTGACCTCGGAAAATCAATTTTAAACTGTTGAAATTATGGATATGGCTCCCAAGTCTCTAGTGAGAATTTCATGCTGGGAACTAATTTAACTGACACATGAATGATACTTGTTTTTTTTTTTTTTTTAGTCTTTTTAATCCTGTCTGTGTCTTCTGCCAAAGACAGCAAGAAGGTTCTCCGAGCTGCACAATGAGGCCCAGGTAGGTAAAGCTGCATAATACATTGTGAGCACATTGAATCTAATGTATAATTCTGTGTATTTGTGAATTCAGCCTTACGGATGGAGGCATTTAATATCATCTGTCTTTTTCTTCTTTTTTCTTTTTCTCTTCTTGTAACCTACTATGAGTCAACATGCTGTCTTTATATGACTGGCCATAAGATGTCTAAGTTCATTCTCTCAACTTAGTAAGTGTGTGACTTTTAAAAAAAGGTAGGAGAGAGTTAGGCAATTGATATAAATACAAACTGTAAATTTCCAACAGATACATATGAGTTTATGTTTATTTTTATTTATTTTAGAGACGGGGTTTCACAGGGTTTTGCTGTCACCCAGGGTAGACTACAGTGGTGCAGTCATAGCTCACTGAAACCTTCAACTCCTGGGCTCAAGTGATCCTCCAGACTCAGTCTCCAGAGTAGCTGGGACCTCAGGTGCTTATCGCCATGCCCAGCTAATATTTTATTTTTATTTTTGGTAGAGACAGGTTATCATTATGTTGCCCAAGTTGGTCTTGAACTCCTGGGCTCAAGGAATCCTCCCGCCTCAACCTCCCAAAGTGCTGGGATTACAGGTGTGAGTCACCATTGTGCCCAACCGTATATATGATTTTAAAGCATTGTAAAAACAGGGGGTGATAAAACAATTCAACTAACTTTGCACAGATGAAAAGCATTTCTGTAACTTCGGGAATTTGGCCCACAGTCCTGAGCATGTAGCTTTTGCCTGCAAGACATTCTCAATCTTCAAGGAGATGTTCGCATAAAGCAAAAAAAAATTGTAAACTTCTGTGGCTATCATTGTTTCAGAGTATTTACAAAGGACTCTGAGAGCCAATAGGGATGAACTCCTGTTTGTATTTTTCCTCTCAGAGGAGATATTTGAAGTGGGTTTTGAAACATTATATAGAGATGAGATAGGGATTGAATCAATAATCCACATGTCCAATATTCATTACCTGATAACTGAGTAGGGATATGCTGAGAAGAGCGTCATGTGTTTCCTTAAGAAAATATGACCTCAGCTGGGACTGAGCAAAACCATGAAGTGGACTCAAGTGGTCCTCAGATTCCACATTTCTTTCTTTTCTTCATTTCAGTTCTTCCCCCAACTTCCACTTTTCCTTTACTTGGTAATTCCTTATTTTATTTACTTATATATATTTTTGCTTGTTTTCTTTTCTCCAACAAAAGCTGCTATCCCCACACTTTTTTTTCTTTTGAGGGTCTCGTTCTGTAGCCCAGGCTAGAGTACAGTGGCACGATCTCACTTCACTGCAGCCTTGAACTCCTGAGCTCAAGCAATCCTCCCACCTCAGCCTCCAGAATAGCTGGGACTATAGGCATGCACCACCACACCCAGCTCATTTTTATGTATTTTGTAGGGATGGGATCTCACTATGTTGCCCAAGCTGGTGACTAACTGATTCTCTTGCCTCAGCCTCCCAAAAAGCTGGGATTACAGGTGTGAGCCACTGCAGCCTGACTTTTTAAAAATTTGGAGTAATGATAAATTGCATGTATTTATGAATATTTTATTTTTATTTTTTGTTTATTTAAATTCATTTTCTTTTTTTTTCTTTTTGAATTTCTTTTTCTTTTTTTATTGTCCCTTGAGTCAAAAAAACTGACATATAAACATTGTGTAGATTTACGGTGTACAACTTGATATTTTGAAATACGCCTGTATTTTGGAATGGCTCAATTATGCTAATACAAGGTACCTCATCGACTTACCTATTTGTGATGAGAACACTTTGAGTAGATTTTATCAGTAATTTTCAACTCTAAAATACATTCTTATTAACTATAGTCAACACAAGTATAATAGATTCTTTGAACTTATTTCTCCTGTCAAATTGAAATTTTTTATCCTTCGGCCAACATCTCCCCAAGCCCCCCACTGGTCCCCCAGCTCCTAGCGGGCATCATTCTAGCCTTTCCTTCTATGAGATCAACTTTTTGAGATTCCACAGACAAGTGAGATCATGTGGTATTGGTGTTTCTGTGCCAAGCTTATTTTCCTTAGCATAATGACCTCCAGGTTCATCTACGTTGTCATATATGACAGAATTTCATTCTTTTTTTAAGGCTGAATAGTATTCCATGGTGTATATGCACCGCATTTTCTTTATCCATTCATCCAGTGATGGACACTGAGGTGTTTGGCCATTGTGAATAGTACTGTAAGGAACACATACACCCACATGCCCTTAAATTGGAATTAAAAACTCTAATTTTAGAATTAAGTTAAGGTTAAATCCCTTAACCTTAGAGACTCATTTAAGTCCCTTAAATGAGGTTAAGACCCTGGAAGAGGGAGTTAACCTCAGGAGTCTTATCGTCTCCATCTTCTGCAATGATTTGCCTCTGAGTACATGTTTTCAGACTTCCCTCCTGGAAGGGCATCTACTTTAGCCTTTAAAAAAATTTCAATAGTTTTTGGGGAGCAGGTGATGTTGGATTACCTGGATAAGTTATTTAGTGGTGATTTGTGAGATTTTGATGCACCCATCCCCCGAGCAGTGTACACTGTACCCAATGTGTGGTCTTCTATCCCTCACTCCCCTCCCACCCTTTCCCTGAGTCCCCAAAGTCCATTGCATCATTCTTATGTCTTTGTATCCTCATAGCTTAGTTGCCACTTACGAGTGAGAACATACAACATTTAGTTTTCCATTCCTGAGTTACTTTACTTAGAATAATTGTCTCCAACTCCATCCAGGTTGCTGCAAATGATATTATTTTATTCCTTTTTATGGCTGAGTAGTATTCCATGGTGTGTGTGTATGTGTATGTATATGAAAATGTGATATGGATAGATATCTATAGATCTATATAGATAAAGAAAATGTGGTATATGTAGATATCTATAGATCAAGAGTGTCTCTCTCCAAGCACCAAGCACTGCTGCTGAATGGCAGCAGAAGTGCCCAAAGGAATACTCTCTTGGCTTCTCACTTTGCATAAAATCTATAGATATGTATCTCTAAACACCACATTTTCTTTATCCACTCATTGATTGATGGGTATTTGGGTTGGTTCCACATTTTTGCAACTGCAAATTGTGCTGCTATAAACATGCATGTGCAAGTGTCTTTGTTTTTGTTGTTGTTGTTGTTTTTTGTGGGGTTTTTGTGTTTTTGTTTTTTCTTTTTTCTGAGATGGAGCCTCGGTCTGTCACCCAGGCTGGAGTGCAGTGGTGCAACCTTGGCTCACTGAAACCTCCCCCGGCTAATTTTAGTATTTTCAGTAGAGACAGAGTTTCACCATGTTGGCCAGGCTGGTCTCAAACTCCTGACCTCAGGTGATCCACCCGCCTCGGCCTCCCAAAGTGCTGAGATTACAGGTGTGAGCCACCACACCCGGCTTCGAGTGTCTTTTATATATAATGCCTTCTTTTCCTCTGGGTAGATACCCAGGAGTGGGATTGCTGGATCAAATAGTAGATCTACTTTTAGTTCTTTAAGGAATCTCCATACTGTTTTCCACAGCGGTTGTGCATCCCCATTAGCAGTGTAAAAGGGTTCCCTTTTCACTGCATCCACGTTAACATCTGTTGTTTTAGCCTTAGTTTATGCAAAGTGAGAAGCCAAGAGAGCATTCCTTTGGGCACTTCTGCTACCATTCAGCAGCAGTGCTTGGTGCTTGGAGAGAGACACTCTTGAGCTTAGGTAGACGTCTGGGAGATCCACGTGATCTCCAAAGACCCCTGTTGTGTTGTGTTGGGAGGTGGATCCTGAATCCACCCAGAGAAGCCTGATACCAATAAAATCCCCGCTTGCTTTCCAGGAGCCCCTTGGTCTTCATGTCTTTGGTGTGCACACTCTTGAACACGTGCCAGGCACACAGGGTGCATGATGACAAGCCTAATATTGTCCTGATCATGGTTGATGACCTGGGTATTGGAGATCTGGGCTGCTATGGCAATAACACCATCAGGTAAGGCGGTTTCATGGCGAGTCATACATTCATCAGTCATTCAGGTTCCGCAGGCTGATAAATTATACGACTGCATCTATATGCAAAACCAAATGGATTTGTTGGGTTTTTTTTAGTTACTTTAAACTTTTTGATAGTTTTAAATTATTTAGATTATTTAATAGTTTCACAATTACATTTTTAATACTTTTAATTTGAATCTCATTCAGTTTTTAAACTTAAGAAATAATAATTGTCCATCTTCACGGGGTACACAGTGAGGTTGGGATACATACAATGTGTAGTGATCAGATCAGGGTAATCAGCTCATCCAGTGTCTCTAGCATTAACCAGGATAGTCATAGTAAAAGCATGGCTGTCCGGACCCGAGTCCTGGCTCTGCATTTACTAGCTCTGAAGTCTTGGAGAAGTCGCTGAACCTCTCTGTGTCTTAGTTTTCTTATTTGTCTAATGCAGAGAAGACTTTATACCCCTGAGTTTATATGTGTGAAGAACTTAGAATAGTACCTAACACACAACTACCCTCTATCATGCAGTCTATTATGAAGCATGATGATCGTATATACATGTACATTGCAGACATAAACACATAAATATAATTATAAATATATGTGATATATTTCATATATGAATATATTCTATAACATAAAATATATATCATACATTTATTATATTATATATCAATCTTTTATGAATATATGAATGTATATTTAATATATAAACATTTATGAATATATTTATAATATATGAGTATATAATATATTACAAATATATATGAATATGTTATTCATATATACATGAATATATACATATTTGTATGTTTATGAATATATATTCATTTTCATACAAATATATTTAAATAAATTTATACACATTTATATATAAATTTATTTAAGTAAATATAAACATATATTTATATATTTTATAGAAGTATATTTAAATAAATATATGTAAAATATTCATATAAAATAATAAATATTTATATATTTATAAATTTATGTAAATATTTATATAAAACAAATATATATTCATACATATTCATAATATATAAAAGTATATATTATTATATATAAATAATATATAGTATATATTATAAATATATATATTAATATATAGTATATATTGTAAATATATTAATAATATATAGTATATATTGTAAATATATAAATATATAAAATATATTATAAATATATATTCATATTCATAATATATAAATATATTCATAAACTTATACATATTTATGAATTCATCTGTGTTGTTGAAAATTATGGGATTTCCTTCTTCATAAATTCATAAATTTATACATATTTATGAATATATATTTATATATTCAATTACATATATTCATAAATATATAAATGTGAATATGTATATTCAGTAGAATTCATTCTGTTTTCCTAATTTGGGGAGCCAACAGATTCTTTAAGGTGATGAGCTTGTATTTTTAACAATGGGCATTCTGAAAGAAGAAAAACAGATATGAAACAAACTCAGAGCTTTGTGGTGGATTATAGAAGCCATCTGTATTAGCCATTCTTATACTGAGCTTAGGAGTACATCATTATAAGACATACATCATACACTTTTAAGATCATTGCATTGTGTGACTAATAGATGCTGAAGGTAGTCATCACAGTTTTCGACAACAGAGCTAAGAGTCATGAAAAAGTAGTCGCCAAAAATCAACCATTACTTATGAGAAAAGAAGGGAGGACTCACCCAAAAGCACAGAAACATGGTGTCCATAAATAGCAGATATTTACAGAGAGTATGTTAGCGTGGGGTATCGGTGTTTTGCTGAAAATACTAGCAATTTGAGAAGTGAGATTATAATGCGAAATCTAAAACCAGGCACATGTGCTCCAGGAATGCAGTTTACAATTTTTTTCTTTGCAAAATAAATAATGTTTTAAAAGTCGGTAGGTGGGCCGGGCACGGTGGCTCAAGCCTGTAATCCCAGCACTTTGGGAGGCCGAGATGGGTGGATCAATCGAGACCATCCTGGCTAACACGGTGAAACCCCGTCTCTACTAAAAAAAAAAAAAAACCTAGCCGAGCGAGGTGGCGGGCACCTGTAGTCCCAGCTACTTGGGAAGCTGAGGCAGGAGAATGGCATGAACTGGGGAGGTGGAGCTTGCAGTGAGCTGAGATCCGGCCACTGCACTCCAGCCTGGACAACAGAGTGAGACTCCGTCTCAAAAAAAAAAAAAAAAAAGTGGGTAGGTGACTTCCATATCTGAAAAAAAAGTTAGATACGCACCTTGGTAAAGCTGGAAATTCTTCTTGCACCAGTTACCTGTCATAATTTCTCTCATGAATAAATGTAGAACTCATTATATTTTATTTTCATCCAAGAGGAGACTGACTCTTTTTTCAGAAGTCTCTCCGGCCTCCAGAAGTCTCTTGTGAAATTATTTTGTAATTGACGAATTACAGTTGTGTGTATTTCTGGTGTACATCATGATGTTTCGATCCATGGATCCATTGTGGAATAGCTAAATCAAGCTAATTAACATGCACAACCACACATACTTATGATTTATATGTGGTGAGAATGGTTAAAATTATGGCATTTCAAGAATAGAATACATTCTTATTAACTATAGTCACCACAATCTGCAAACAGATCTCTTAAATTTATTCCTCTATGTGAGGAATAAATCAAATAGAGGATTCATTCATGTTTGGCTCCGTGAAACACATGTGTCCTTTAACCTACCTGTTCTCGACCCTCACCCCAGCCCGATACCCACCATTCTACTGTCTACTTCTGAGTTTGCTATTTTAGATTCCACACATAAGTGAGATCATGCGATGTTTGTCTCTCTGTGCTTGGCTTTATTCATTTAATCTAATACCCTTCCAGTTCATCTGTGTTGTCAAAAATGATGGGATTTCCTTCTTTTGGTTATTTAATCATATGACAGTTTTGCAACCTACGTAGACTGCAGGGAAATGTATCTATCAAACCGGTGGGTGGTCTGTAAGTAGTCAGGCATAAGTAAGGTCTGTAAGCAATTAGCCTCGATGAATCAGACCCCATCCCTTAAGCATTTTATTTTGTAAGGCTGTAGTACAGTGAATGGACACCATATAGCGGCACCCAGGTATACGATCCCCGCAGAACAACAGCTGCCTGGAATCTCAGTTATACTTCACCTTGACACGGGCAAAAAAGAAAAATGAACTCCGTGTGCAGTTACCTCTGGGCACCTGGAAATCATAACAAACAGAGATGTTGTTTATCTTCAGATCTCCCTGTCTGTCTCTCTGTCTCTCTCTCTCTCCTCTTTCTGTTTCTCCATCTCTTTCTATGCCTGTCTGTGTCACCCCTCTCTGTCTGCTTGTCTCTCTTTCTATCTCTCTCTGATTGTCTCTGTCTCCCTCTCTCCTTGTCTATCTCATTCTATCCATTTCTTCCTATCTCTTTCTGTCTCTCTCCCTCTCTCTGTCCCTCTGTTTCCATCTCTTTCTGTCTCTCCATCTCTTTCTATGTCTGTCTCTGTCTCCCCTCTTTCTCTGTCTGCTTGTATCTCTTTCTATGTCTCCCTCTGATTGTCTGTCTCTGTCTCCATCTCTCTCTGTCTATCTCATTCTATCCGTTTCTTTCTCTCTGTCTTTCCTTCTCTCTCCCTCTCTCTGTCTCTTTCCATCTCTCTCTGTCTCTCTCTTTCTCTCTATCTTCTTCTCTCTTTCCATTTCTCTTTCTGTCTCCCCCCTTTCTCTGTCTGCTTGTCTGTCTTTCTATGTCTCCCTCTGATTGTCTGTCTCTGTCTCCATCTCTCTCTGTCTATCTCATCCTATCCATTTCTTTCTCTCTTTCTGTCTTTCCTTCTCTCTCCCTCTCTCTGTCTTTCCATCACTCTCTGTCTCTCTCTTTCTCTCTATCTTCTTCTCTCTTTCCATTTCTCTTTCTGTATCTCTCTCTGTCTCTTTCTCTCTTTTCATATCTCTCTTTATGTTCGTCTCTCTCTGTCTTTCTATCTCCCTCCATCTGTCTGTCTCTCTTTTTCCACCTCTCTTTCTGTTTCTCTGTCTCCCTCCGTTTATCTCTTTCCATTTCTTTCTGTCTCTCTCTTAAACTCTGTATGTCTCTTTCCATCTCTCTCTTTCTATTTCTCTCTCTTTCTGTCTCTCATCTTCTCTCTGTTTGTCCCTCTCTGTCTTTCTCTGTCTCCCTCTTTCTGTCTCTCTCTTTCTCTCTCCCTCTTTCTGTCTGTCTCTTTCTCTCTCCCTCTGTCTGTCTCTCTCTTTCCATCTCTTTCTGTTTCTCTCTGTGTGTCTTACCCTTTGTCTCTTTCTCTCTCTCTCTTTTCATCTGTCTCTTTCATCTGTCTCTTTCATCTGTCTCTTTCTCTCTCTCTCTTTTCATCTGTCTCTTTCATCTGTCTCTTTCATCTGTCTCTTTCATCTGTCTCTTTCATCTCTCTCTTTTCATCTGTCTCTTTCATCTGTCTCTTTCATCTGTCTCTTTCATCTCTCTCTTTTCATCTCTGTCTCTTTCATCTGTCTCTTTCATCTGTCTCTCTCTGTCCTTCTCTGTTGCTCTCTTTCTCATCTCTCTCTCTCTCTTATCCTTTCTTTCTGTCTGTCTCTCTCTGCCTCGCTTTCTGGGTCTCTCCCTCTCTCCCTGTCTGTTTCTCCTCTCTCTTTCCACCTGTGCCTTTCTGTTTGTCTTTCTCTGTCTTTCTCTCACTCTTCTTCTCTGTTTCCCCTGCCCCCCACCTTTTCCTTCTCTCCAATACACCTTGCCTCTCCTGCTTCAGGACGCCTCACATCGACCGCCTTGCCAGGGAAGGCGTGCAACTGACTCAACACATCTCGGCCGCCCCCCTCTGCAGCCCAAGCCGGTCCGCGTTCTTGACGGGAAGATACCCCATCCGATCAGGTGTGCAAACTGGCGGGCTCTGCTGGACTCTGCCCTCATGTTAGGATGAGAGGAAATAAAAATGTGGCTTGACTACGTTAACAAGTAAAAAAGGGCTGGGCACGATGGCTCATGCCTGTAATCCCAGAACTCGGGAGGCCAAGGTGGGAGGATTGCTTGAGCCCAGGAATTTCAAACTAGCCTGGGAAACAGAGCAAGACCCCATCTCCACAAAAAAATGTTTTAATAAGTTGAGCATGGTGGTATGCGCCTGTGGTCCCAGCTACTTGAGAGGCTGAAGTGGGAGGATCGCTTGAGCCCAGAAGTTTGAGGCTGCAGTGAGTGTGATCACAGCATTGCACTCTAGCCTTGTTGATAGAGCATGTCTTAGAAAGAAAAAAAAAAAAAAGATTCAAAGGAAAGAAAAGAAAAAGCACACATGTGCATAGATGCACTGGCATACACAGCTACCACTGTCCACCTCAAAATCACTGCACTTCTAAGAGATGCAAGATCACCCTGTGTGACTGAGTTGTCTTTTGATGCAATGACAACTTTTTACCTGAATTCCAAGTCATAAGGTGTACGTTTGAGTTTCCCAGGTCAACAAAGATAAACTCTCTTGGAATGAAATAATTAACACCACATGTGTTTACACATTCAGTCTGTCACCAAAAAATATATTTTTTTCTTTCAAACCACAAAATCATGGCTGGGCACGGTGGCTCACGCCCGTAATCCCAGCACTTTGGGAGGGTGGATCACTTGAGGTCAGGAGTTTGAGCCCAGCCTGGCCAACGTGGTGAAACCTCGTCTCTACTAAAAATACAAAAATTAGCCAGGTGTGGTGGCATGCACCTGTAGTCCCAGCTACTCGGGAGGCTGAGGCAGGAGAATCGCTTGAACCCGGGAGGCAGAGGTTGCAGTGACCCGAGATTGTGCCACCACATTCCAGCCTGAGTGACAGAGCAAGACTCCGTCTCAAAACAAACAAACAGCAACAACCAAAAACCCACAAAGTCATAAGCCAAGAAATAGCTATCTGATTTTTGGACAACTTTCATCACAACATTTTACCCATGGAGACAGTAGTATTATCCCTTTGCTCAATTTATATCAACTTTATTTTATTTATTATTATTATTATTATTATTATTGAAGTGGAGTCTCGTTCTGTTACCCAGGCTGGAGTGCGGTGGTGCAATCTCAGCTCACTGCAATCTCTGCCTCCTGAGTTCAAGCGATTCTCCTGCCTCAGCCTTCTGAGTAGCTGAGATTACAGGCACGTGGCACGAGGCCCGTCTAATTTTTGTATTTTTAGTAGAGATGGGGTTTTGCCATATTGGCCAGGCTGGTCTCGAACTCCTGACCTTAGGTGATCCACCCACCTCGGCCTCCCAGAGTGCTGGGATTACAGGTGTGAGCCACCACGCCTGGCCATATATCAATTTTAGATAAAACAAAAATGAAACGAGAAGAAGGAAATTATCCTAAGCTCTAATTGTCATGTTCTCATTACTTTTTAATTTATTACTATTATTTTGAGACAGGGTCTTGCTCTGTTGCCCAGGATGGAGTGCAGTGGTATAATCATGGCTCACTGCAACCTCAACCTTCCAGGCTCAGGTGATCCTCCCACCTCAGCTTCCTAAGTAACTGGGACCACAAGTGTGCACCACTATGCCTGGCTAATCTTTAAATAACTTAGGGTCTTGCTATGTTCCCCAGGCTGGTCTTGAACTCCTGAACTCAAGCCATCCTCCCTCTTTGGCCTTCAAAAGTCCTGGGATTACAGACATGAGCAACTGCACCCAACCTGGTGACTTTTTTTGTTTGTTTTGTTTTTTACTTTTGAGATAGGGTCTCCCTTTGTTGCCCAGGCTGAAGTGCAGTGTCACAATCTCAGTTCATTGCAGCCTCAAACTCCCGGGCTCAAGCGATTCTCCCTCCTCAGCCTCCTGAGTAGCTGAGCTTGCAGACACCCACCAGCATGCCCGGCTAATTTTTGTATTTTTGATAGAGACGCGTCTCACCATGTTAACCAGGCTGGTCTCGAATTCCTGCACTCAAGTGATCCGCCCACCTCAGCCTCCCAAAGTGCTGGGATTTTAGGCACGAGCCACCGCGCCTGGCCAAAATTAGCTGTTTTAAAGTGTGCAATTCAGTAGCTTGTAGCTCTTTTCCAATACTGTACAACCATCACCTCTATCAAATTCTAGAACATTTCCATCACCCACAAAGGAGATCTTGTCACCATGAAGCAATCACTCCCCATTCTCCCTTCTCCCAGCCCCTGGTTACCAAAAATCCACTTTCCATCTCTACGAACATGTCTGTCCTGGACATTTCACATAAAAGGAATCATACAGTATGTGACAGTCTGTGACTGGCTTCTGTCACTGAGCATAATGTCTTATGGTAGCCTGGGCCAGAGCTTTATTTTTATTTTGCATACTATTCCCTCGCATGGGTTCACTACAGTTTCTCCATCCATTCATCAATTGATGGACAACAAGATGTTTCTACCCTTTAGTGATTGTGAGGAATATAGCTATGAACATACATGTGCAAGTTTTTCTTTGAATACCAGTTTTCAATCCTTTTGAGTTCCTCAGGAACCTCAATTCTTTTGATATTCCCCAAGAGTGAAATTGTTGGGTTGCATGGTTCTATTTTTTTTTTTTTTTGAGAGGGAGTTTCACTCTTGTTGCCCAGTCTGGAGAGCCGTGGCACAATCTTGGCTCACTGCAACCTCTGGCCCTGGGTTCAAGAGATTCTCCTGCCTCAGCCTCCCAAGTAGCTGGGATTACAGGCATGTACCGCCATGCCCAGCTAATCTTGTATTTTTAGTACAGACAGGGTTTCACCATATTGGTCAGGCTGGTCTCAAACTCCTGACCTCAGGTAGTCCTCCTGCCTCGGCTTTCCATAGTGCTGGGATTACAGGTGTGAGTCACCACATCCAATCATATGGTTCTATTTTTAAAGGTGAGGGAAGTGGGCTGGGGCACAGTGGCTCACACCTGTAATCTCAGCACCTTGGGAAGCTGAGGAGGGCAGATCAGTTGAGGTCAGGAATTCTGGAGGCTGGCCAAGATCAAGGCATGCCAGCTTCAGTGTCTGCTGGGGACCTGCTTCCTGGTTCATAGACAGTGCCCTCTTGCTGTGTCCTCACATGGTGGAAGGGATGAGGGAGCTCTCTGGGGTCCCTTTTGTAAGGATACTGATTCATTCTTGAGGCTCCATCCTCCTGACTTCATCCCCTCCTAAAAGCCCTACCTCCTAAACATTACCTTGCAGGTGAGGGTTTCAATGTGCAAATTTTGGAGTGACAAAAATATTCCCTCCATAGCAACACCTACTCATTGTACTTTTTTCCACGCTACTTCTAGGTATGGTTTCTAGTGGTAATAGACGTGTCGTCTATAATCTTGCAGTCCCCGCAGGCCTCCCTCTTAATGAGACAACATTTGCAGCCTTGCTAAAGAAGCACGGGGCTTATAGGTAAGACACAAGGATTGGTGTTAGTCATTGATCATAAGGTAATAATGTCCTTTGTTCTACCCTTGATTTATGACTTTCTCAGAAACACTTTATTTTACAAAGTCTTATGTAAAGGCTCAGTGGCCCATTCTTATAATCCCAGCACTTTGGGAGGCCAAGGTGGGAGGATCACTGAAAGCCAGGAGTTTCAGACCAGCCTGGGCAACATAGAAAGACCCTGTCTCTAAAAATATAAAATTAGCTGGGCATGGCGGCATGTGCCTATGGCCCCAGCTACTCTGGAGGCTGAGGTGGGAGGATTGCTTGTGCCAGGAGTTCTTTTATTATTATTATTATTTTTAAGACAGACTCTTGCTGTGTCGCTCAGGCTGGAGCGCAGTGGCACGATCTCAGCTCACTGCAAGCTCCACCTCCTGGGTTCAAGGGATTCTCATGCCTCAGCCTCCCGAGTAGCTGGGACTACAGGCGCGTGCCACCACGACTGGCTAATTTTTGTATTTTTTGTAGAGATGAGGTTTCATCATGCTGGACAGGCTGGTCTTGAACTCCTGGCCTCCAGTGATCTGCCTGCCTTGGCCTCCCAAAGTGCTGGGATTATAGGTGTGAGCCACCACACCCAGTCTGATTCTTCACACAGCTCAGTGATAGGAGATGTTTTAAAATGAACATATTACAAGAACATAAAATTTTTCTGGCTCTGCCTGCCCACATAGTCTCTCACCGTGTATCCTGTCACCTGCCTCTTCATTTCACTAAGACTGGACCACACAGATTTTCTTCTCACTGCTAGGGATGATAGAAGTCTTCAGCCACCCAGTAGTTGTAACTCCAGCTACCATTCCTGTTTGGGAAGCCTGGGTTTCAGCTGGCGTGAGAATCACGTGCTATTTTAAATCCCTTCAATTTTTGTAACACATCTGCTGTTGATAAGAGAAGGCAATCTCTGTGGGGTTGCAGGACAGGAAGCCTAAGCCAGTAGCATTGCCTCTCCTCTACCTACCCCCATAGACACTCAGAGGTTGATGGAAGCACAGGCATTCTTGATTGGGCCCTCACCACATACAGGAAACTGTTAATATTCCTAGTAGATACACATTATCACAGCCTCTGGGGGTTTGCTGGGCATCCACATGCTAGCAGGACTCACACGCACCCTTTGGTGATCATTCAAGGTGTGGTACATTTTACTGAATAAGTCCCTTTCTTCAATCAGTTTTAATGAGAGCTCCTAGGATTTCCAGCCAGCCAGCTATTCATCCATCCATGCTGGGTCCATCCTCCATGATTTATCTATAGCTACCATCGGTCATCTCTCTCTGTTTCTCCATCCATCTATCAACCCATATATCTCTATGCATCTATCTGTCCATCCATCTACCTGTCTATCTACCTCTTTGTCTGTCTATTGATCAATCCATCATCTATCATTTATCTATCATCTATGTGTCTATCTACCCATCATCTATCTATTTATCATCTATCATTTATCTATCATCTATGTATCTATCTACCCATCATCTATCTATTCATCATCTATAATCTATTCATCCACCCATTCATCTATCATGTATCTATCTGTCTATCCATCTATCATCTGTATCTATCTATTTATCTAGCCATCCATTCATCTATCTATTTAGACATCTCTCTATCCATCCACCCATCCACCCTTATATCTCTATCCCTGTCTGTTTATCTATCTATCTATCTATCTATCTATCTATCTATCTATCTATCTATCTATCTATCTATCTATTCATTCATCTATCCATCCTATCTATCTATCTATCTGTCTGCCTATCTATCTATCTATCTATCTATCTATCTATCTATCTATCCATCTGTCTATCCGCCCATATATCTCCATCCACCTATCTATCTACTCACCTACTCAGCCACCCACCTATCTATCCATCCATCCACCTACACATACATACATGCCCCATCTATCCATCCATCATTTATTTGTATCTATCATATTTATCACATCTATCTCTCTATTGATATATACATACACATGTGTATACATAGATGTACACTCCATAATTTATTTTCATCTATCATATCCCATCTGTCTATTCATCCACCCACAACACAGATCTATTTATGCATCTATCTAATTACCCAGTCATCTATCGATCCATCCATCCACCTACACACACATCTATACATGCTCCATCTATCCTCCATCACTTATTTGAATCTGTCCTCTCCTCTCCTCTCTTCTATCTATCTATCTATCTATCTATCTATCTATCTATCTAACCACTCACTCTATCTCTATCATCTATCTGCCTATCTTTCTGTCTACATATTAGCTATCATCTATCTTTCTATCATCTCTATTCATTTAGCTAGCTATATCTACATATACATCTATTCATCTATCTACCTATCTTTCTGTCTACGTATTATCTATTTATCTATCTACCTACCTATCATCTGTATCCATCTAGCTATATCTATGTATACATCTATTCTTCCATCGTCTGTAACCTGCCTTGTCTCTGTGATGTATCTATTCTTCCATCATCTGCAACCTGCCTTGTCTCTGTGATGTATCTATTCTTCCATCATCTGTAACCTGCCTTGTCTCTGTGATGTATCTATCTTTGTGGCTATGACTTTGTCTTCTCAGTGAATGAGAAAATTTGTAGTTCCCATCCTTGAAAGAAACTCACAATTCTACTTTTCTCCTTTATTTTTTATCCTGTCCTGTTGCTCACAACCAGATCTGAATACAAACTTTCTCTGTAAACTAAAGAACAACAACAACAACAAAAATGTGGCTAAGTGGAACTCGGATGTTTTAAACCAAGGAAAATATCTCTGCTACTTTATTTTTGTGCATTAGCTGATTGTTTGATGTGAAGAATGCTCACATGTTCTTTGCAATGTGCTGGCATATGTCGACATATTGATGTGTAGATGTGTTTGTGTGTTTGGTTTTAGGCAAATGGCACCAAGGCTTGAACTGCGACTCCCGAAGTGACCACTGCCACCATCCATATAATTATGGGTTTGACTACTACTATGGCATGCCGTTCACTCTCGTTGACAGCTGCTGGCCAGACCCCTCTCGTAACACGGAATTAACCTTTGAGAGTCAGCTCTGGCTCTGCGTGCAGCTGGTTGCCATTGCCGTCCTCACCCTAACCTTTGGAAAGCTGAGTGGCTGGGTCTCCGTTCCCTTGCTCCTAATCTTCTCCATGATTCTGTTTATTTTCCTCTTGGGTTATGCTTGGTTCTCCAGCTACACGTCCCCTTTATACTGGGACTGCCTCCTCATGCGGGGGCACGAGATTACGGAGCAGCCCATGAAGGCCGAACGAGCTGGATCCATTATGGTAAAGGAGGCGATTTCCTTTTTAGAAAGGTAAGCGTACTAATTAAAAATTCATGTAATAATCATAATTATCTCTTTTTTAAAAGGACCTAGATAGATTTGCAGGGTGATTGTAGTTTTTAATAATCTATTGTACACATCTAAATAGCTAAAAGAGAATCAACCAAATGACTCTAGAATAAAGAAAAGACAAATATTTAAGGTGATGGATACCCCAATTAACACTGATTTAAAACAATAAATCATTTGTAATAATTCTTTACAAATTATATGAATGTATTAAATTGTAATGTGTACCCTTAAACTATGCACATCTACAATGCATTAATAAAAATAATAGGGGATGATGGTATTAAAAATATTGAGTTAGGAAATGGAATATTGCTAAATGGTGTAAAAGGGTTAGATAAAAATATGAAGTGTTTGAAGACCAGTTGGACTCATCAGTTTGTACCTAAAGAGGTGGTACCTTGTTTGGGCTCCTGTTATTAAAATCATGGTCTCTCTATTGGCTCTGAAATTTATATGTGGTCAGACCATGGAGGCAGACTCTAGTAACTGAAACTCACAAATTGTTTACGTTAATTTACAATGCATCTTGTCATCATGTTAATTTACAACAGGAAATATATACATACACTATATATGTATACATGCACTTACAACATGTATGCATGTATGTATACATGCACTTACAACATGTATGCATGTATGTATGCATGCACACACAACATGTATGCATGCATGTATACATGCACATACAACACGCATGCATGTATGTATACATGCACGCACATGTATGCATGTATGTATGTATGCACACACAACATGTATGCATGCATGTATGCACACACACAACATGTATGCATGCACACACAACATGTATGCATGCATGTATGCACACACACAACATGTATGCATGCACACACAACATGTATGCATGTATGTATGCGTGCACACACATGTATGCATGTATGTATGCATGCACATACAACATGTATGCATGTATGTATACATATGCTATGCATGTATATATATAATATATTTTATAATATTTTTTGTCTGGTTCCCTGATACATATAGATATAGATGGATATAGATATAGATAAATATATATATACATATCAGAGAATCAGATGAAAAAAGTAAGGTGTCCATTGCATTATGTCCCTATTGTTAAAAAACAAAAAAACCTACTTGGGGAAAATAGAATTGGAAGGCTTCTCTTTGAGCATGTGATATGGAAGGGCTATTTCATGAACTGGATGAGGTAAATGGTCAAAGGTGATTGTTATAAAAACTTTATGCATCCCAGAACACAATGGCTGGAAATTTTCAAGGGTATCTATCCTCTTGTTGTTGGACCTTCTTTCTTTAAAAAAAAGTCTGTGAGCACATTTTTCATTTGCTTTTTCCATATTGATTGAGGTTTAATCTTTACCAATAGCCATTCTAGGATCTGGATTCTCAGGATGTAAGGTGTCTTGTGTACTCTGGTACATAGCTTTGTCCTTACTCTGTAGCCCAAGTGAAGGTGATATATATGTAGTCTGGGGCTGGGCATGATGGCTCATGCCTGTAATCCCAGCACTCTGGGAGGCCAAGGCGGGTGGATCATCTGAGACCAGCCTGACCAACATGGTGAAACACCATCTCTACTAAAAATACAAAAATTAGCTGGGAGGCTGAGGCAGAAGAATCACTTGAACCCAGGAGGCGGAGGTTGCAGTGAGCTGAGATCATGCCATTGCACCCCAGCCTGGGCAACAGAGGGAGAGTCTGTCTTAAAAAAAATGTTATCTGGGAGTAATGAAGCCGTATTTGCTCTGTAGATGGAACTGAATGCTTGGTGTCACTTAGAGCAAATCCTTCTGTTCCCTGGTACCTTTCCAAATGTGCAGAGTTCTATGAATTTTTACAGAAAGAGCATCAATATGAGCAAATTAGCACCAACCACTCTGAGAGGATAAGATAAGCAATCCCATTCTCTTCTGTCTGCCAGTTCGAGTCTTCAAGCATTCCCACACAGTTCTCCTTAGGACTTTACATTAGTACTTGAAGAACAGATCCTATTGTTGAGATGTACATTGTTCACCAAAACCTCTGTCGAGTTTCAAAAGTTACATATGATCCACAATAACACAATATTGAATGGAAAAAACAATGGTGAAGAGGAAATATAAAGATTTGGATGTTCTGACAATAAGCTAACGGCTTAGGTTCATGAATGCTAGAAACTATTTTTATCTGGATTCTCAGTGTATGAATCTCCTACAATTGCTATAACAAATGACTACAGGGCTGAGTACAGTGGCTAGTGCCTGTAATTCCAGCACTTCGGGAGGCTAAGGTAAGTGGATCACTTAAGTTCTGGAGCTTGACACCAGCCAAGGCAACATATGGAGACCATATCTCTACAAAAAATACAAAAAATTAGCTGGATATGATGGCATGCATCTGTAGTCACAGATACTCAGGAGACTGAGGTGGGAGGATTAGTTGAGCCTGGGAGGTTGAGGCTGCAGTGAGCCATGATTGCACCACTGCACTCCAGTCTGGGCAATGGAGTGAGGGCCCTGTCTCGAAAAATAAAAAAAATTACCACAAATATAGTGGCCTAATGCAACACAAATTTATTATCCTGCTGTTCTTGAGGTCAGAAATCCAAAATTAACCTTGTGGGCTAAAATCAGATGTTGGTGGGGCTAGTTACTTCTAGGGGGTCTAGGGGAGAATCTGTTTTCTCTTTTTTCTAGTTTCTTGAAGCTGCCTGCATTCCTTAGCTTGTAGGGTTTTGTTTTCTGACTCAGACACTCTGTGTCTCTCTTACAAAAGGACATTTCTGATTCCACTGGACCCACCCAGATAACCCAGGATAATCACTTCATCTTACGATCCTTAATTCATTCCATCTGCAAAGACCTTTTACCATGTAAAATCACATTTCACAGGTTTTGAGAATTAGGATGTGGATATCTTTGGAATAGGGCATTATTCAGCTGATCACTTTGACCATGACTCTTTATTTTGGCAGCTTAGTTTGGGGTGAAAACTATTTAATTTTAAATCTTTAATGTTCAGAGCTGTACTTCCTCTGTAGGCTTTAGGGGAGGATTCTTCCTGCCCTTCCCCACTCCTGGTGGCTTCAGGCATCCCTGGGCTTGTGGCCGCATCACCCCAGTCTCTGCTTCATCTGCATATGGTCTTCCCCTCTGTATTTGTGTCTCATCTTCTGTCTCTTATAATGACAATGGTCATTGGATTTAGTGCCCATCCTAATTCCGGGATGAGCTCATCTTCAGATCCTTAACTAATTACCTCTGCAAAGGTCTTGATATCCAAATAAAGTCTCATTCCAGGTTCTGGGCTTTAAAATATATGGATGTATATATTTCTGGGGGCTGCTATTCAATCTACTACAATTGTATTTGGTTTCTTCTGGAGGCTCTAGGGGAGGATCCCTTCTGCCTCCTCTAGCTCCTGGTGGCTCCAGGTGCCCCTTGGCTGGTGGTCGCATTACTCCATTTCCACATGGACTTTTCTTCTGTGCTTGTGTCTCCTCTTCTCCTATAGGGGCAGCGTTATTGGATTTGGGACTCATCCTAATCCAGAATGATCACATCTTAACTAATTAAATCTCTAGAGGCCCCATTTCCAAATAAGGTCCCATTCTGAGGTTTGAAGTGAACATGAATTTTGAGGGGTCACTGTTCAAGACACCATGACATAAGTCTTGTTTTTAAAATTCATTTATTTTTATTTATTTATATTTTGATATCTCATCAGAGCAGAAATTTCCCAATGAATGGCATTTGTGCTTTGTGCTTCCCTGGGTAGCTGAGGACTTATCATTCATGCAGGTGGATTATCAAAATTAAAAGTGGGTCAGCCTAATTCCCTGTATCCTCATGTGAGAAACTACAGGGTGCAAATGGCTTTCCAAGGCATTCCTGTTTGTACTGGCTTATGGCTCGTGAAACTCTTGATCTTGGTAAGAAATGACTTCCATACCACCATCTCTTGATGTGTCTCAGGGTGTGACTCTAGTTTGAGGCTTCATGAGCAGTGAGAACATCCCCCAAACAGAGCTGGATTTGACTTTTCACACTCTCATGATATGGGAGATCTGTGTTGGCTTGCAGTATGTTCTACAGTTGTCCTGGCATCTGAGAATCAAAGGAACTGTGATGGTGTCACAGGACTACCAGGTTCATATGCCTGCCACACAGTAACATACCAATACACTGAGGCAGCAGGGTTTACGGTAGAGAAAGGTTTAATAATTGCAGGGCAATTAGTGCAAACATGAGAGGAGACCTCAAATCCATCTCTCTCTCTCTCTCTCTCTCCTTCCTTCCTTCCTTCCTTCCTTTCTTTCTTTCTTTCTTTTCTGTCTGTCTTTCTTTCTTTCTTTCTCTCTCTTTCTTTCTTTCTTTCTCTTTCTTTCTCTCCTTCCTTCCTTCCTTCCTTCCTTCTTTCCTTCTTTCCTTCTTTCCTTCTTTCCTTCCTTCCTTCCTTCTTTCTTTCTTTCTTTCCTTCTTTCTTTCCTTCTTTCTTTCCTTCTTTCTTTCCTTCTCTTTCTTTCCTTCTCTTTCTTTCCTTCTCTTTCTTTCCTTCTCTTTCTTTCCTTCTCTTTCTTTCCTTCTTTCTTGTCCTTCTCTTTCTTTGCCTTCCTCTTTCTTTCTCCTTTCCTTCCTTCCTTCCTTCCTTCTTCCTTCCTTCCTTCCTTCCTTCCTCCTTCCCTCTTCCTTCCTTCCTTCCTTTCTTTCTTTCTTTTCTTCTCCTTTTCTTTCTTCTCTTTCTTTCTTTCTTTCTTTTCTTTTCTTTTCTTTTCTTTTCTTTCGTCTTTCTCAGATTCTCACTCTGTTGCCCAGGCTGGAGTGCAGTGGTACAATCTCAGCTCACTGCAACTTCTGCCTCCTTGCTTTAGCAATTGTCCCACCTCAGCCTCCACAGTGCTGGGATTATAAGAGCCCACCATCATGCCTGGCTAATTTTTGTATTTTTAATAGAGACAGGATTTCACCCTGTTGGACAGGCTGGTCTCGAACTCCTAACCTCAGGTGATCTGCCTGCTTCAGCCTCCCAAAGTGGTGTGTTTACAGGCGTGAGCCATTGTGCCTGTCCTCAAATCCATCTTTCCAAGGACTTCTGGGCTGGATTTTTTAGGGGAATCATGGAGGTTGTTGGGGTCATTGATGGGTTGGGGTAAGAGGGAATGAAATCACCAGAATGTGGAAATGGCATGCTTTGGTAAGTCAGCTTCTCACAGGGTCCTTCAGAGAAGCAGACATCAGTAGTTTCCCTGGTATGCACAACCTGAAAGATTACCGCAAATGGAAAACTTAACATTTCATAATGTTATGTTACCATCCTGTGGGTCTATGTGATTCTAGGACAAATAGGTACCAAACAAGTAGGAAGACATAGATCAGAGAGCAAGCTGACCTCAGGATCAAAGCTGAGTATGCTGCAAGCTTAGTTCATTTTTGTTTCTCCCCCTCCCTTCCTCTCTGATTGATTTTATGAAGTTTATAGAGATGATTTCAGTAGCATCACCAAAGGGGTTAGGGAGCAGTTGAGGTGCTGCAGGATCATGGAATCCATTCCATGCAGGATAGGGCCCTTGGGTGGACACACTCTATCTTCTGCAGCATGGAGAAGAAGGAAGCAGGTCATGTCTATGAGAAGCCAAAACAGTATTTTTCACATTCATGGATGTTGAAAACTCACAAGTAGTTTCATTGATGTCTTCTCAGGCACCGTAAGGAACCTTTCCTTCTTTTTTTCTCCTTTCTTCATGTGCACATACCTCTCCCCACCACGGACGATTTCATTGGCACCAGCAAGCATGGCTTGTATGGGGATAATGTGGAAGAGATGGACTCCATGATGGGTAAGTCACAGGACCTAAGTGGACAGAAACTAATAGGACAGGACACCTGAAAACTGCTCTTGGTCAACCTGTACAGTGAAGAGAATTATGCCTATGGGACAGGGTGGTCTGAGACATAAATGAGGTAATAGTTGCAAGCAATTGAGAAAGTCAGCAAAAAAACTATATGCATTTCCTCTCCTTTCTTTGTATGCCGTCCACTTATCAACTGGGGTCTTTGTCTACTTGACTGCATCTCCAGTGCTGGCCAGATAACACATCAAATCTTCTTTTCAAAAATTTCAACTCTTGTTTTAGATTCAGGGAGTACATGTGCAGGTTTGTTACCTGGGTGTATTATGTGATGCTGAGGTTTAGGATCTCATCAAACCCTTCACCCAGACACTAAACATAGCACCCAATAGTTTTCAATCCTTCCCCTACTCTTTCCTTCACCCCTCTAGTGGTCCCCAGTATCTATTGCTCTGATCTGTGTGTCCACGTATACTTGATGTTATGCTCCTGCTTATTTTGTTTTGTTTTTAAAAATAAATTTTATTGTGTATATTTAAGATTCACAACATAATGTTAAAAGATACATATAGATAGTAAAATGATTACTATAGTGAAGCAAATAGTAATCGTTAAGTAACATAATATAGTAATATTAAGTAATAGTAATACAGTAAGCAAGTGTATCTATCATCTCACACTGCTACTTTTTTGTGACAAGATCAGCTAAAATCTATTTAACAAAAATCCAGCTGAGCACAGTGGCTCACATCTGTAATCCCGGCACTTTGGGAGGCTGAGACGGGAGGATCACTTGAGCCTAGGAGTTTGAGACCAGCCTGGACAACATAGTGAGACCCTGTCTCTACAAAAATACAAAAATTAGCTGGGTGTGGTGGCATGCGCCTGTAGTCCCAGCTACTCAGGAGACTAAAGCAGAAAGATTGCTTGAGCCCATAAATTGAGGCTGTAGTGAGCCATGATCACACCACTGCACTCCATGCACTCCAGTCTGGGTGACAGTAGCTCCCACTTATAAGTGAGAACATGCAGTGTTTGGTTTTATATTTCTGCATTAATTTGCATAGGATTATGTCCGCCACCTGCATCTATGTTGCTGCAAAGGACATGGTCTTGTTCTTTTTTATGGCTGTGTAGTATTCCATGGTGTATATGTACCACATTTTCTTTATCCAGTCCACCACTGATGGGTACCTAGGTTGATTTATGTCTTTGCTCTTGTGAATAGTGCTGTGATGAACATAGAGTGCACATGTCTTTTTTTTTTTTTTTTTTTTGAGACAAGATCTCACTCTGTCCCTCAGGCTTAAGTGCAATGATGTGATCTCAGCTCACTGAAATCTCTGCCTTCTGGGGTAAAGCGATTCTCCTGCCTCAGCCTCCTGAGTAGCTAAGGCTATAGACACATGCTACTGTGTAATTTTTGTATGTTTCGTAGATGCAAGGTTTTTCCATGTTGCCCAGGCTGCTCTTGAACTCCCAAGCTCAGGTAATATGCCTGCCTCAGCCTCTCAAAGTGTTGGGATGACAGGCATGAGTCACTACACCCAGCCCACGTATCTTTTTGACAGAAGGAGAAATCGTATTTTTAGACTCTTTAGTGACATAGCCAACCTTTATTTCAGGTCTGTTGAGCACCAAGATCTTAGTTGGGGGTTGGGAATTAACTGGTAAGTCAGAATCCAGTACCCTCATGAACTCATCCTGTAGAGGGAACAATGTAAATGGGATTTCCTAAGACTTACATGGTAAATATATTGATTAGCAAAATGGCTTCAATTTTCCAACATTAATGAAAGAAAACCACGAGTGAAACTCACATATGTGCAGGACACAAATTTAAAGTATAATATTTTCCAGATACAGATATTGTGAAATGTATGTCACTAAATAAAAAGACACTTTGGAAAATTAAACCTGGAAAAAGCAAAGCCAATTTGCATAGTCTTAAACACATAAAAAATATAAAGTATTTAAAAATATAAATAATATTCAAACCAAATACATACACATGAATGGATGTTTATGTAGGTATAAGTGTGTTTGTGTCTGTAGTGTTTGTGTACATATGTTTAGAAACAGATGATTGACAGAGATAGATGATAGGTAAATAGATGATAGATGGATAGATAGATGATGGATTGATAGATAGTTGATAGATAGATGATAGGTAGATAGATGATGGATGGATGATAGATAGATAGATGATAGATGATAGATGATCAATAGATGATTGATAGATACATAGATAAACAGATGATAGATGATAGAGAGACAGATATAGATTGGTAGATTATAGATGAATACATGAATAGGTAGATGAATAAACAGATACATAGATGATAGATGGATAGATATATAGATAAATACATGATACATACGACAGATGATAGATGACAGATAAGATAGCTGATTGATAGATAAGATAGATAGATGATAGGATAGATTGACAGATACGTAGATGATAGGTAGATAAATAGATACATGATAGATAGATAGATAGATAGATAGATAGATGCATAGATAGATAGATAGCTATGCATACCCCTCTTACTTTCTGCCTCCACCAGCACTAGGCAATGCAGCAAGTCCTTACAGTTTACATTCTTAATATTGCACTCAATCTCAAAAAGTGTGGCGATCCTATTTTTGATTTGATCTTTGAAAATCAATGAAATAGGTCATTCAAACTCAGGCTGTGATAACTAAAAGAAATTACTATTTGCTTTAAAAATGTAAATTAACAAAGTTCCCAAAGTATCTAATTTAATAAAACTGATGATGTGTCATAGTATTCGAACAAGGCACTTTGGGTGTGACTTTAATTTCAACGGGATTTTTCTAGTGACATTCAGATAGTATTACACAAATGGATGGGTATGTTGAATCTGGGTGGACAAGCTGTGATATCTGAAAATTATATTTTGAAAAAGCGCAACTGAGATGTACATGATGCTGGTGCCCAGAGTTTTTGAATGTTTTGTCCACACAGCCAGGATCAAGCCTTTAGGAAGAATAAACATTTGCTTTAATATATGATTTTAGCAATTCTCAAACAAACATGTATTTACCCTGAAATTATTTATCCCAGAAGCTGTAACAATACCCCAAGTTCTAGGAATTATTGCTTTTTTTCTTTTTTTTGAGACGGAGTCTCGCTCTGTCGCCCAGGCTGGAGCGCGGTGGCCAGATCTCGGCTCACTGCAACCTCCGCCTCCCGGGTTCCCGTCATTCTCCTGCCTCAGCCTCCCGAGTAGCTGGGACTACAGGCGCCCACCACCTCGCCTGGCTAGTTTTTTGTATTTCTTAATAGAGATGGGGAGGTAGCCAGGATGGTCTCGATCTCCTGACCTCGTGATCCGCCCGTCTCGGCCTCCCAAAGTGCTGGGATTACAGGCATGAGCCACCGCGTCCAGCCGGAATTGTTACTTTTCTTATTAGAAAAGTTTATGTGTGGCCATTCCTGGTAGAGATATCACATTCCTGCCTTTTATAATTATCATGGGTGGCCGGGCGCGGTGGCTGACGCCTGTAATCCCAGCACTTTGGGAAGCCAAGGGAGGCAGATAACAAGGTCAGGCAATCAAAACCATCCTGGCTAACGCTGTGAAACCCCGTCTCAACTAAAAATACAAACAAACACATCCGTGGTGACAAGCGCCTGCAGTCCCAGCTACTCAGGAGGCTGAGGCAGGAGAATGGCGTGAACCCCGGAGGCAGAGCTTGCAGTGGCTGAGATCGTGCCACTGCACTCCAGCCTGGGCAACGGAGTGAGACTCCGTCTCAAAAAAAAAAAAAAAAAATCATGGGTTTTCCACAGCAGTGCCCTGGAATAATGGAGTCTGCTGATAGAATAAACACTTATTTTCATTTTTTAATAATTTCCACTTTTAGTTTAGATTCAGGGAGTACACATGCAGGTTTGTTACCTGGGTATATTGTGTGATGCTGAGGTTTGAGGTACAATAGATCCTGTCACCCAGGGAGTGAGCATGGCACCCAATAGATAGATTTTCAGCCCTTGTCCCCCACCTTCCTTCTCCCCTTTCGGAGTCCCCAGTGTTTATTGTTCCCATCTTTATGTCCATGAGTACCCAATGTTTAACTCTCACTTACAAGTGAGAACATGTGGTATTTGGTTTTCTTTTTCTGTGTTAATTTGCTTAGGACAATGGCCTCCAGCTGTATCCATGTTGCTGCAAACGATGTGATTTTGTTCTTTTTCATGGCTGCATAGTATTCCATGGTGCATCTGTACCACATTTTCTTTATCCATGTGGATTGATTCCATGTCTTTGTTATTGTAAATAGTGTGATAAACATGCAAGTGCCTGTGTCTATTTGGTAGAATGATTTATTTTCCTTTGGGTAGATACCCAGTAATGAGATTACTGGGTCAGAGGGTAGTTCTATTTTAAGTTATTTGAGAAATCTCCAAACTGCTTTCCACAGTGGCTGAGCCAATTTATATTCCCAACAATAGTATATAAGTGTTGCATCTTCTCTGCAGCCTCACCAGCATCTGTTCCTTTTTTTACATTTCTTTGACTTATTAGGTTGGTGCAAAAGTAATTGAGGTCTTTGTCATTACTTTCAATGACAAAGACCTCAATTACTTTTGCATCAACCTAATAGTAGCCTTTCCAGCTGGTGTAATAAACACTTTTAAAAGTGATACTTCCCATGGGCCATGCACTGTTACCAGTGTATTCTGGATGAATCCCTGCAACATCCTCACAGAGGAGTACCATCTTCATCATCAAATTTATCCCCATTCGCAGAGAAGGAGACAAAAGCACATGGCCTTTGGTGGCTGCTCTTAGAGATAAGCCAGGGTTGGGCTCCAAAACTCTTACTCCCTAGCTCAGCTGCCTCTTATGCAGGGCAAAGAAGTCAGGTTGAAAGATGAAGAAGGAGAGCTACATTCTTCTCTGAAGCCTCCTGTAGCCCCGTTAGATTCCTACAGACTGTCATTTCACAGGAGTCAG